TGATGATATAAATCCTGCATTCCCTTAATGACCCTAACCTATGGGAATTATGGTATATTCCTTATTATGGGTAATTCCTGGATTACCTTAATAAGGACCCTAAACTATGGGAGCTATGGCATATATTCCTTATTATGGGTAATGCAGGATTCATATCATCAACCATGCGACGATGGGCAGCCGCCAGACGCCGGCCTCGAGTGTGTCAATGTCAAGCGGGGCAAAAATATCCCTTAATTAAGGAATATACCTAAAATCATATTAAGGATCCCACTATAATTGAAGGAATATTCCTCAATTAAGGGATGTTGGAGTCTCTGGGGAAGAAGTGACGCTGCTGCCAAAAAGGTACCCCTTCTTTTCGGAAGCTCCTATATTTTTTCAAGCCTTCGTGGTTCGGCCATCCGCTCCAACGTTGACTAAACCCGAGACCGTTTAGGGTTTAGGGTTTAGGGTTTAGGGGTTTAGGGTTTAGGGTTTTAGGGTCTTAGGGTTTAGGGTTTAGGGTTTAGGGTTTTAGAGTGTAGGGTTTTGTTGGTCTTTTGAGGTTTAGGCGTTTGGTGTTTGTCCCAGAAGCCTTGGAACTCCCGAGCAGGATTTGAAGCATCTGAGTGCTCACTAACCCCTGAACCCCAACCCCACACCCTCAAGTCATTGTAGAAGCATGCAAAGTTGAATTAGATTAGTGGTTCCTGATTCTAGTGAAGTTCCGATAACATTAAACTCATATAGAAGAAGAAGCAGTTTAATCATGCTAAATGATTCTAAATCATGTTCCATCAAATACCCCCAACCCTGTTCTAACTATCAAGGCGCCTGTATACGCCTCAAGGCTGCAAGGCTGGCTCCTAGAATGTACACGCCAGTCAAACCGAGACGTGATCCATGGCCTTGAAACCGCTTCATAGGGTTTTAAAGGGAATCTCTAGCATAACAGCTAGAATAGGGCTTTGAAGGAATCTCTAGTATAAGTATTTCGGGCCTATTAATTGACGCTGACATTTTGGGATAGGTTTACTAGTTATTACCCTCAACCCCTAAACCCTAAACCTATACCCTAAACCCCGAACCCTACTAGTTAATCCGACCCGCTACGTTCCGCACATGCTTTCCCAGGCAACACCTGGCCATACCAAAACCCTGCAGACGCTCAAACTCGACGACAAGACCTGCCTCTGCAGCTTGCCTCATCCCTTATCCAGAAACCCTAAACCCATAAACCCTAAACCCGAAACCTGTGTCAGTCAGTGCTCGTCTTAAGGGGTCCACTGCTGAAGAAGGAGATCTACATGGGAGAGCCCTATCGAAGATTCCATTTATGAGCCTGTCTGGGACGCTGATGTATTTCTCAAGGCTTCCAACTTCCAGGTTGGGGTTTATGGCCAAGGGTCAGAGTTTCCAAGACTGTAGTGTAGTCTAGTCTAGTCTAGTCGAGTCGAGTCTAGTCTAGTCTAGTCTAGTCTAGTCTAGTCTAGTCTAGTCTAGTCTAGTCTAGTCTAGTCTAGTCTAGTCTAGTCTAGTCTAGTCTAGTCTAGTCTAGAGTGTCGTATAAAATGAAATAAAGTAACGTATAGTAGAGTAGAGTGTAGTATGTAGCATATAGTATGTAGTATAGTATGTAGTTTCAGTATAGCATCGCATAATATAGTATAGTACAGTATAGTAAAGTACGGTGCAGTACAGTCCGGTAAGTCATGATGTATTGTTTTGTAGTCTAGTATGGTCTAGTCTAGTATGGTCTAAGTCAAGTCTAGTCTAGTCTAGTCTAGTCTAGTCTAGTCTAGTCTAGTCTAGTCTAGTCTAGTCTAGTCTAGTCTAGTCTAGTCTAGTCTAGTCTAGTCTAGTCTAGTCTAGTCTAGTCTAGATAACAACAATAAAAGGAAAATTAGTCATGACCGTAATCACATGATCAGAAAGTGGCATGAGCGTGAGGTTGATCGTTTTGCACTGCTACCTGCGAGGGGTTTTTCAGCTTGCTTCAGATGCCTCTAACCATACACTCTCTGTGAGACCGGCCTATGCATGCTTCACCACATTCTTTGTTTCCATTGCCGATTGGTCCTGAAATTTCAGGCGCTTGGATTTAGTTTGTAGTTTTCTGCCATCTATCTTTCCGTTTTCGTGCCAGAGGGCCGGCAGCCTTTGGTCCATGGCTTTAGCGACTGAGAGGTAATGAGGCTGCCCGCTGGCGCAGCCCTCGCGCTCCTGGACTTCATCGTGCTGGCAGCCGCTACACGGCCAGCACAGCCAAGCCAGAATGACAAGCCGGGCCAGCTGTTGCCAGAGCTCGGAAAGGAGAGCAGCGACGGCCCAAAGGTGCTTCCGAAGGCTTGCGGACAGGATGGCGTTATCAGGCTGCAGGAGGCTGCGACATACCGCACAGATGATGCGAACCACAGCATTGATCCCAGCTGCCACACGCTCCAGGGAGCGCCCAACGCAAATATTCTGCTGTCTACCGGCATCACATTCACGAATGCCGGCGCTAAGATTTATGGCCCGCTGGCAGTGAGCATGGCTCCTGACATCAAGGAGCTCAGCGCAGCTGCGATTGGAAGCACCGGAAATCTTCGTGTCATTGCGCCTGAGGGAAGCGTGCTAAGCTTCAAAGGCATCACTGCCAGCGGCGTTGCTGCAGGGCTGAACGCAGATGGGAACATCACTCTTGAGGGCCAGGGCAGCATACTCTTGCTGGACTTGTTCAGTGATCGGGCCGCTGCAGTACGCAGCTTGAATGCTGAGGTTGTCAGCACTGTTCAAAACCTCCACGTCCGCAACTGCTCATCGAGGTTTGGTGCAGTTTACGGAGGAAGAGGCGTTCGCTTCGACAGCAGTGGCAAGGTTGTCTTTGAGGATTGCGTGGCGTTTCGTCGAGGAGGTGCCGTGTGCACACGCGGAGAGTTGAGCATCTCCGGCCAGGCCGCCTATGTCTTCCGTAACTGCGCAGCTGCTGAGGGTGATGGTGCCTTGAGTGCCATGGGTCTCGATCATGATGTGTCGTTGGAGCTTGGTCCTGGAGGCTCTGTTCTCTTCGATGGTTGTCAAGCACGTGCTGGTCCGGGAGGAGCAATAGGGAGCTATCGCAACATTAACATCAATGCCGGGAGCGTGGCGTTTGCAAAGTGCTCTGCCTGGAGGGGCCATGGAAACATCATGGCTGCTGACCGAGGCACTGTGCACATCTTGGAAGGAACGCAGGTGACACTGTCCGGGATGGACAAATATGACACTGGCGCTGCCATCATTGCCCACGAAGTCATGATTCCTGCTGGGGGCGACTTGCTTGCAGAGGACATCCTTGCAAGAAACAAGCTCGTGACCAAATTTGCCGATCAAGGCCGTGAGACGTGCCCTGCAGGATCAATGTTCGCCAAACGCATCGGAGGGATTCCAGACTGGGACAGATGCAGGCTCTGCGATCCAGGATCCTCTTCTCTGGCTATTTCGCAGGTGTCACCCAGAAATGTGGTTAAATCTCCTGAAGAGAACATGCGCCTTGTGCTGGTGAGGCAGACATCTCCAAACGCCATTCCTTGTTTGCCACCTTTGATGGCAAATGCAACTTTGGATCGAGACCGATGTATTGAGTACTGGCAGGGCCTCAGCCCTCAAAAGGCAGAGTGGGACTCTTTGTACGAAGGGCATTATGTTAGACTGGGATCACGCAGCGTCGGAAACTTGACTTGGAAAGACGGCATTGTCAAAACATCGGACGGTGCAGTCCTCGAGGTGCCCTTGGGCGTGTTTGTTCCGAGCCGGCCATTGATTTTCATAAAGAGGAATGACGAAGATGAATACAGCGCAAGCCAGCGGTTCTCCATGACACCTTACGGCGTGAGTCCGGTCCAGGCCCCAAACCTGGTCCTGGGCCTGCAGCACGATGTGACCTACGATTTTCAGCCTCCCAACCCCGCCGATGCATGCCTGGCCTGCCACAGACTGGCCCCCGAGGCAGCCATGCAGCTTCAGTGTCCAGGTGGAGCACATGTTAGCTCCTTGCCGGGGTACATGGTCCTTCACGAAGTCGGTCAGAGGAAAGTGGTCGTCCACCATTGCCCAAACCCAGCCGCCTGCCCGGGCAGCAACTTAAGCCTGACTGCAGCAGGCATTGCGGCCAACAAAACCCAGCTCTGCGCAACAGGGTATGTAAGGAGCCCAGGCTGCGTGCGCTGCAGCGCTGGCTACGGTCGCAACAACCAGGACCCGTTTACTTGCAGCCCTTGTGGCACAGCCTCCACGACCTTGCAAGTGGCGATGGTGGCGCTCCCCAGTGGTGCCTTCTACGCCGTCGCGCTGATCTTGGCCAGGCCTGGCGATTGAGTGAATTTGATGCGCCTGGGCCTGAACGGCCACGTAGATGTCTCCAAATACTGAGCCCATCAGCATTTGAGGATCCTGTTGTGCTGTCGCAGATTACACCTACATCACAACTTAGGACCAGCAATTCAGCAAACCGCCGTACAAGGCACTGTAGAGGATCTCAAAGCCAAGAGACGTCCAACAACTTATCGGGACTTTGATCAGCATAGCGACAGCCAGCTGCAAGTGTCGCCCGAACCAAATAACCGGTATGAGATTTGAATACGAGCAATGCGCATCCAGGCCTCGGACGGAGACGCAGCAGATCTTCAAGATCTTCCTCGCCTTCATCACGGTGTCCTGCCGTAGCCTCTCCGCCGTACCTCACACGCCGCACTACGAGAAGCTCAAGACTGATCTCCACAATGCCGCAAAGTCGCTGTATTACTTCCTCACCGCATTGGATTTCGTCATCGAGACGGAACCAAACAACGGCAACTACTCTCTGGACTGCTGGGGCATCTTTGATGGGTCAGTTGATGCCAAGTGGAGCTTGTTGGTGGCATGGGTCATTCCCACAGCTTGGTTGCTGTTGGGTCTCGGCTGGCGTGGCTCCAACCAATGGCTCAAGTCCCTGGTCGTTTGGGGAAATGTTTTCATCCCTCCTCTCGTCGGGGCGACAATGAAACTGAGCCCCTGCTTCTCCACACAGGAGAGCCACCGCATTTTGATGTACGAGGCCCGCAAGCCGTGGGAGCATTTACCAGGATTTAACCTTAAACCCTGAACGCGAAACCCTTAACCGTTTGGACCCCGTGCTCTGACGTTTGAGGCTCCATTGGGCACGATCTGCGCTTCCTCTCTGGCAGGGATGGCCAAGGAGCCTCGTTTCTGGCTGTTCATTGGCACTGGCAGCCTTCTCCTCTTGTTGGGGCCCTTCTTGTGGCTTTCCGTAGTCACATCACGGGGCAAGGGCACCAAACAACCGGAAGGAGAGTCGGACACCGAGGCATTCTTGGTCGCTGGTTACAGGCGGGCTTACCGTAGTGGGACAGTGCTCAAAGACAAGCTTTACAAATCCTCAACCGGAGACTCAACAGGGGAGGCGTAGGTCGTCCCCTTCCCAACCCTTCCCTTCGCCCCGAAAGCCAAATAAAATTGAACCCTCTAAGACGCCCCCCAAAGCTAAACAAAGCTACCTCCACCGCCACAGGCCAGAAGTTCGGTGGTGGGAGGTGACAGTTCTTGCCAGGAAGGCGGCCATCCTCATCATCGCCACCTTATTTCCAATGTCATGGGCGCCGGCAGCGCATCTCGTATACCTGCTAGTCATTACCATCCTGGCAGAACTGGTCCACGTGCAAGTCCAGCCTTACGCGAGTGCCGACCTCAACAGGCTCGAGGCGATGGCCTTGGGCATATCTGCCATCTGCCTGGCGCTGGTCCTGTCGCTGGCAACTGAGTGGCCCTTCATGCCGTACGAAGTCTACGTCACCAATGCTGCCCTCCTCTTCATCCTCATGATCGGGTCCTACATCGGCTTCTTTCGCCTCTACCTCCATGCGCGGGCCAATGACAGGCAGGAACAAGGAGAGAGCAGTGCGGTGCGCCAGGACTGTGCAAGGTGAGTCCTGGAGGAGGCCAGTCCAGAACCGCGGAAGGAAACAGCTCCATACTTGCGTCCAGACTCCTGGGTAGTTCTCTGAAGTAGGCTTCATTCTTGGGGTCCCCAAAATGGTACGGCGCCCTTATGAAAACGGCTCCAAAGGGGACCCTAGTTAAGAGAATCACCCGCATGTTTCCCTGGGGTCGAAGTTACTCTAAAACCTGCCGCCATCTCAGTGGATGCTGTTTCGAGGTGACAGCCCCGGTGTGGTTTTCCCGCGCTTGGAGGTGCCCAGAGAAGCCCAGATCGCCCCTTGGATGATATGATTTAGGGGTTTAGGCTTAGGGTTTAGGTGTTCTAGGGTGTTGGAGCTTTAGTGGAGGATTTTGGGGTTTCGGGGTTTAGGGTTTAGGGGTTTACGGTGTAGGGGTTCAGGCTAGGGAGACATAGCGATATAGGGGGCTGGTTCAGCAAGGTTTTACACGGATTTTAGACGGGTTCAAAGACGGGGTTGGCAAGGGTTTCGAGTTTTTAGAAGGGCAGGGCTTTCGGGTTTTCAAAGGGTTTGCGGCCAGGCGCTGGAGCAGAAGAGGGATATCGGAAACCGCTTCATAGTATCCTCTTCTGATCATACCTATCATATTACTGGTAGAATACAGGTATCCTCTTTCTATCGTCCCTATCATGTTTGTGGTAGAATATAGGTGCCCGACCCTATTCTAATCATTCTCAAGGCTCCTATCTTAGGGTAGGGCAGAGTTTGCCACGACCCGAAGCCCTGAGCCCGAAACGGTTGACTTTTAGGGGTTAGGGTTTTAGGGTTTTTGGATTTCGGGTTTAGGGTTTAGGGCCACCGTCAGTGTCCCTGACAGTAAATGCATTGTATTGTCGGTGTGGAAATTTTGCTTAGCGACTGCAAAAATCACGTCATTGTGCGCGAGACACCGGAACCTGAAAACCTAGACTACACCCGAACACCCTAAACCCTAAACCCTACAGTAAACCCTAAATGAAAATTAGATTGTAGACCCTTTGCAACCCTGAGCCCTTGAATCCTGAGCCAAGCCTCAAGCCTTAACCCTAAACTCTAAACCTTCTTCAACTCTACCTAAACCTAAACCTTAAACCCTAAACCCGTAAACCCCTAAACCCCTAAACCCCTAAACCCTAAACCCCTAAACCCTAAACCCTAAACTCTAAACCTTCTTCAACTCTAACACCCTGCATCTAAGACCCTGCATGATGAAAACAGCTCAACCTCAAGCCCCTCCACAGCCTGCAACCGTCGCCTTCCCAGAGACTCCTATATCCCTTAATAAAGGAATATACTTGAAATCATATTAAGGATCCTATTACAATTTAAGGAATATTCCTTAATTAAGGAATATTGGAGTCTCTGGGTTATAAAGCCAGCAGGCCCCTTCAAATCCCTTCTTAAGCAGACTGAGCCCTCTTTCAGCACCATGGCCTCCGACACCCTAACCTCACCATCCCAGACCCCTCAACGCACTCACACCCCTAAAGCCCCAGACCTTATGAACCCTAAATCCCTAAACCGCTAAACCCTAAACCCTAAACCCTAAACCCTAAACCCTGCACGCCTAAAACCCGAAACGCCGAAACTCCGAAACCCCGAATCCTGGGCTCGACCCCTTGTAGTATATGGTGGGTCGTTCGC